ATTTAGATTTATTAGGCCTAAGTTTTAGAACAAATGTTACATCTAGATCTATTAATTTAGTCATTAGATCTGTCCCAATACAATGCCTAGTTTAATAGTTAATACAGGCTACAATTTGTATGATGGTGGAACTAGGGTCTAGAAATAAAGTTATAACTGCAATTAGACCTAAAGTCTAGTACATTTGTTGGTGTAACACATGATTTACAATCAGCCAATACAATTACAAACCACTACTGTGGCACTACATTAGGCCTATAATGTTTACTAGATCTAAATCTAGGCCTTGCCTGTTGCATATATTGCATATATATCTTGCACACCAGTTAATATGTTACATCAATCTCGTATTTTCTTTTTGTTGAACATACACTTACTTGTATGTTGTACTCTAGGACTTGTATTTGATCTACAGATAAATGACGGAATAGTGTAATAGACTTCTGTACATTAACTCGGTCTCATTGTATTTCAGTGGGCGGCTTTTAAAAGTTAAAACTGCAAGCGTAATAAACACATAACGTAACACTGTGTCCTATTTACTTAACGTAGGGCAGTTGCACTATATCCTAGGGGAGGGCATAATTATTAATTAATAGGCATTATAGGCCAGAGGATATTTTGTGCCCCTTCACACCTGCGGCTGGGGGTGACTGCCCCCTCTTTCTACACCACTGGGGCTGAGGTGTTACCTGAAAGTGTAGTACAGGCCACTCCTTACACTATAAACCAAGCCATTCTTGGCAGTTGGGCCAGTTGGATAGGTCCTGAGTTCATCTTGAGAGACAAGAGATATTTATCCTTGCATCTGCTTATTCTAGTAAGTATTTCTCAGGTAGTATACAGCCTGACTTATTGCCCTGCCACACTACACACTCATGCTCACTAAGGTATATTAGCCAGCTGAACAATCATTAAATTCCTTCCACCTATGTGACACTTTTGCACCATGCAGATGGTTTGTTTGACAAATCAATACTGTGGGAAGAGTATTCTCTGCATGAGAATAATGTGATATCTCACCAAGTGATGTCCCATTAGATCCTCCCATTATAGTGGGTGACATGCCCCATGAGTTTTCACAATTTGATGCTATATTTCAGAGAGGAGCTCAAATTTTTAATTTCTTTATTTACACAGGCCCTTCCATTATCTTATTAATGTGGGATTTTAGCATTTCTGTGGTGAGATGAGTAATGTTTCTGAAGTTAACATTTTCCTTACCTTGTCCCACTCTGCTTCCAGTGTGTTTCTTCTACCTTGTCAACAGTGAGCCTTTGTTGAAATATTAGAGTTTACTGTGCTTGGAGGATGTGTTGCATCATATGATGGTGCAACACACATTAATAAGTATAGTGGTGGAGGTTTCTTTCAAGGCTTACACTTAACACATTCACAAATATTTTTCAGCAGTGAGGTGAGGTGATAACTATCAGGTATCTGGAGAGGTGAGTGTCTATCTGAAATATATTTTCATGTAAACTTTGCAAACTGGGAGAATACAACAAGTGGCCTGTGTGTCCCTTAGAGCTATGTTTTAGACTTTGTTGATAATTGTTTTTTTTCTACAATATGAATAGCCTCTTGGACACCAATATTTCCCAAGTTTTTGTTATTTTGAGATTATAGAAGAGCTGATGCTATTGGAATTGTCTCATTTAAATTAGCTTTGACAGTCTTGATGACTGAGCCATAATGTGGAATACAAGTTTCAGTATTATACAGTGTGCATGTAAAGTTAGCAGAGAGGAAATAGTAATTTTTAAAAGCCATTGCAGTTAGATAAAACCATAAAGCATTCATTTGAGTGTTTAGCTGTAGTAAAAGAATGTTGAAGCTAAGTTTATGTCTAGAACCATGATACAGTGTAAAGAACCTCATGCTCAATAGTCTTCAACAGTCAGGTTGTGATTGAAATTCTTTCATGCATATTGGACTAGTCAAGAGCAAAGTGCTTGCAAATCCTGTAGTTATTCACTTTGTATGTGAATTTGTTTGTTTGTCCACAAAATCGTCTCACAGATTTGGAGCTGCAAGACCAAATTTGGCATTCAGAAATGGGATGACCTAGGGGTTTCCTTATCTATATGATGTAGCCCCATAACATGAAGGGATAAAATGCACCCACAATGTTACCAAGGCATGATGAGGGTCTAGGAGTAGGTTTTCAAGGTCACTGAATCCAAATCTGGCATCAGATTTTCTGTTTCTGGCTCTCCTCCAGACTGTGGGGGGGTGCCATGTTTAAAACTATTCATACACCACTTACAAACTAGTGGGACTAAATATGGCACATATGCTATGGTATTGTGGGTGAGTATACTAATAGGGTTTATTTTGAGGTACAGACCCCTTTGAGATAATAATAGAAGTAATTGGGGAAAAGAGCTTGATCAGTACACTGAGGCATTTGTGAATCACGAAGGGCCTTTGAACACAGCAGTAGAGTGCAGGTATTTTATGCTAGTGTTTCATCTTTCATCCTAAACAGATTATACTGTTTATTAGAATGACCTCAACCCTATGATAATTTTGAGGTAACAGCAAGTACTTAATACAGTTTTGCAATGTAATAAATCTCATATTTGGATTAGCCAAAGCTAAGTTTGTTTTGTTATTCACACATGTGTTGAAACTTTTGTTCACTAATTCAAAAATTAAAAAACAGTTTACATTATAAATAATGCAATACGTTTCTCCAAAGAAATTTTTTTTTATAGCTTAGGGATGTTGTATGAGTATGAGAACTTCCTACAATAAATTAAGTCTGACAATTATATCACATTTATTATCCATTGTGATAAAATATGTTTCATATTTCTTTGTTTTTAGAATTAGTTTTGACATACTAAGATAATTTTAATTTAGATGTTTAGGTTAGTAAACAGCATCACTGCCACTTTGGAATAGGTTGCAATGTAAATCTTAATGACTACTTGTTTTGTAGATCCTGAAACTTGGAACCATGTCACACAAAAGCAAGCATCTACTTGTATGCTTTTCTGAAATCAAACATAATTTACTGTCATGTTCATCACTAAACAGGATAGACCAGTAAACAAGAGGCTGTTTAAAAAGCATTAATGCAGTGATTTATTGTTGTATATGTTAATTTTATTTTCCAACTGAACTACATTATTAACTGTAGAATACATTGTAGTTGGAAAAAAAATATGAAAGAGGTAGTAAGATATTTCTGTTAAGCTCTTGTTTTACTTTTTTCAGACTGTGATACAATAAAAGTATCCTGCTTTTATACAGCACTTGTAATTGAAGTAGTTGAATAAAACAAAAGTTGCTTATCATTCTGGGAAAAGGAATAAAATGGAATTTGGTAAGTTTTGTGTAATATATATATATACACTGTAATAACTTCTTTTTTCAGTAACCTTTCAAGAAGTGTGAGATGTTCCCTCAAAATACATTATCATTAAACTCAGGCTTCAAATATTTCCCTGTTGCTATTATACAAGTAGGTAGGATGCTTAAGTCATGTACTGAATAGTTGAAATTGTGTTGTCTGTAATGATTACTTCTTTGTTTTTTAAACTGTGTGTAGTTTAGAAGGCACTGTACTATTAATGTACTTTCTACAACACCTATTATGATTAAGTTTTTTGAATATTTTGACTGAACATTTTTACAAAAGAAAGTTATTCATCCCAAAATCCTCTTATAACAAAATATCTCAATGACAGATTGATAACACCCATGCATTAGTTGTTTTGCATAGAGGCTAGTGAAATGTACCTTTCAAACAGTTTTATGTGAATGAACATTAATATCCAAAATAGCTTTTAATAGTACTTCATAGCAATTTGAGGCAAAAATATATTGTACAACACAACAACTTTTTTTTTTTTAAATGAAATATAATATGATACATTAAGTTAATAGATGTACATGCTTTTCTATTAATATATAGAAATTCTGTAAACCAAGATAAATTGTACTTGGCAGTGATGATATGTTTGTTTCAGCAGCCAGGTTGAATTTGGCAATGACTTAGACAAACATTAGTTGAAATATGACTGCTAAGTGACAGGTTTGGATGTGAAAAAGATTGAAAAGTGTGAAGAATAAAGAGAGGTGGGAATTGATAAAAAGAAAGTGACATATGAGGATGAAAAAATAAGCAATTGCAAGGAAATCACTAAGACTGCCACAAGCAGGACAACACAAAGCATATGTTGTACTGGCAAAGAGAATAATCAAACAGCTAGTCTTGATAAGAGAAAAAATGTGCAAAGCTCAGAAAAATTGGCTGAAAAGACAGTGGGCATCTAAGAGAAAAGATGAAAATAAACTACTGAATAAAGTTTGAATAAACCTATATATGTTTTAAAACATTTGACCTGTTTGTGTATTTAGTTTGTATAGTTAAATTAGTCACATAATTCAGTATCACAATCACCTCATTGAGCTATTAATTTTCAATCTAATTCCCAAATCTTTCAATTATCCACCAAAAAATTTAAGTATGAATTTCACACTTTGTATTACTTTTTCAATATTGAAAGAAACTGTATTTTGTATATCTGACTGTAATATTCTTTGACAACCATACTGTATAGTTAAAAATAATGATTTAAACAAAAAATTGAAGAAAATTGGAAGAAAAGTGCTCTTCAGTAAATGGCATAAATATAATCAAAACTAAATCAGTAAGAAGCCAAAATCATTACAAAATATAAAACAGATTATTTAGATAACAATATCCAAGATATAAAAAATCTTTCTTTATATGGATTCTATATGTGTTCCTGCTAAGTTGGCAATTTTGTAATGAGGCATATAAACATCCAGGTTTCACAGCATAGAACACAGATGGCAGCACACATGCAGGTTTGGTGATTGTTTCAAGTACATGGGGATATTCCCGCATGTCGCAGTAGCGGGAAACATTTTTTAGTAGCTGTGGGGTAAATACCAATTTCACAGTCAGTGGGTATAAATGTTTATTCGGATGTATCTAAACTATGCAGCAAAGGGGTTAACTAAAACTTGCCAGAATGCACTAAATAATAGCGTATAATATTAGAATTTTTTCTTGGGGAGAATCCAACCTATCCTCCCTACAATTGTTCAGCCCAGGGTTTGAAATTTGTTAACACCCATGCTAGTACACATTTACACCACTGTACATCTCATGCATGTGAAACTGCATTTCTGCACATGTATCTTACTTTCATATCCAATGCTTGCATGCACAGACATTTTTGAATTTGAACCTTTATGATAAAGGTAAATAAAAGCTTGAAAAGCTGTAATATAAATATAAATGTAAGTATTTTACACACACACATATATATGTATATATTAACACTTAAAATGGACTTAAAAGCTTGTTTTTGTGATTTTTGAATTATAGAATATGTTTAAAATGTATTAGGTCATATATCACACAATATGATTTTGTATTGCAAATATTAAGTCAACTTAACTTCAACAAGTAAAATCAGATATAACCTTTTTCTTATTTTTACCAGTTCTTCTAAATTAATTTTTGTACCAAACAGTTACTTTTCTAATTCCTTTTATAAGATACACCTCCTGATGCTCCTGTTAACTTGGTGCCTTGCCCAGAATGTGGAAGAACATTCCATTCTAATGCCTTGGTAAGTTTTTTTGGAAGTAACAAAAGTGTTTTTATGAAATTATGAAACTATTGGTGTTGGAATTGTTTAAGGGTTTATATCTCATATTCTCTTCTAACATCTTACCTACAAGGTTGGGCAAAACTAAGACATTGAAATTGTATATGGCATACAGAATGTGCAGTTAAGACTAAATCATGGATTCTAAGAAGTATATAATACTTTCAAGATGCTTGAGCAAAAAAAATATAAGGCCAATAATTTGTTTTAGCTCAAACAAGAAGTGGTATCTTGTAAAACAAAAAGCAAATTTAAGCAGCTTGACATAGCTCTCAATGCATAATTTTATTCAGTACCTTAAAACTGAATTCAAATTTAGTTTGGCTTCTTATTTACCACATCACATTTTGTTCATTGTATTTCAGTGATGTTTCTTATATGAATTAGCAGCCAAACTAAATTAAGTTTTATAACATATGAGTAGAATGATATGAATAATGTCTAGTTGCTTTATTTTGCTGTGTTTATGAGAGATCATCTCATGTTTGAGCTAAAGCATAATTAATTTTTTCATTTAAACATTTTTGGATATACTTCATGTATTTTTGTTTTTCTTCCATCCAGGACACATTTATTGTAATCATCATTGTTTAACTAGACCTTTACGGGGAAGCAAGTCATACAGGAAAGCGGTGCGCAGATCAGGATATTGCTAATATTACACACATTATCATGTAGATTAAATGAGATTGGAAAGTGTGTTACCTTTAATTATGAGAATATGTGAGAAAGAGCTGGAAGCAGCAGTGATGCTGGATGATGCTCTCGTTCTGAGCTGGGTTATATGAAATGAACTCTTGGAATGAGAGTGACCAGATCAAGGAGAGAAAAGTATTTTTATAATTTGAAGTTCTTTCTCATTCACTACTTAAGTGACATGCTTTCAAGAATAAATATTTATTTACAACGAAGAAAAAGTAGATAAGTGCTTGAGCTAAGTAGATGTAGAATGAATTCATTGCTCCATGCTTCTGGTGCTAGGATTATTATGTATCATAAAGTTTCTGAAAGTTTGCAAATAATTATCTGCTGGCTGTGGCCACTAAGTGCTCAGTCTAGTGTTCACTAGTGCATTTGTTGTGCTTTCTTTTTGAAATTGCTCCCTTAGTGGCAAATAATGGCAAAATACAGGTTACTTTGAAAGCTGCTTTAAAGTAGATTTTACATTTTTGACAATCAAACTTTGTAAAAGTGTGCACACTGAACTTTCCTTTTCACATTCATATCACTAAGAAAAAGAATAATATTTATTGTTGCTGGACAAAGATTCAAGATACTGAAAATTTGGAAATTTTCTAGACTACTTCATGTGTCTCTTGAATCAAAAGTAGGCAAAACTGGTGAATGAAATTTTGCATATTTATTCTTAAAGTGCATAACATTTGAAATAAAGCAAAACATTCCCCATTTTTAATTTTGGAGAAAAGTAATAAACATGCATATTTTATATTTAATCAGCAAACTATGTAAACAGAAAATACTACAGTATTTTTGTTTTTTCTTTTACTTTTTTATTTTGTCTACAAAACTCCTGTTATGTTTGATTAAATATAGTTACTTAACTTTCTTGTTTTTTTCTTTACATTATAATATGAAACATGCATGAAAGTTGCTGTGTACAAGACATGTATTTTAATAGTAATCTTTGGGTAAGTATGTGTACATCAGGTTAAAGAAAACATCATAGTCTTAAACTTCCATGTAAACCCTAACCATGGTGAAATAATTTAACTATAGTACATGCAAAAGCACTGCTCACAGGCAGGATGAGAACACATCAATATTTGGAGGGAATCTTGCTAATTACTGGTGTGTCCACACCTAACAGTGAAACATTTAGAATATCAGCAGCATATGGATGCAGGCATATTCAATATTTAGCACCTTTGTTCATGTTAAGGTGATGAGTGCCGATACATTTCTACTGTTGAATAATAATTTGTTTTCATTATTACTTGAATCTTGTACATCACAATGTCCTTAATGTAAGCTTCAAACTCAATTCTGTTATAGTCTGCACCATTGGAGTTGTCTTCATTTGCTACAACCTTACATTTTTTCTTGTATAGCTTTGGTATCAAGTCCTGTGGTAATGGACTTCAGCAGATACAAGTTCATGCAAGGTTATTGCAATTATTCAATCATCGTTGTGCTGTATTTTTAGATATCTTATGGAAGTTTCATCAGCATTCATATCAACACACATTACAAGTTCTTCTCATATTTGATTTTTTTTCAGATACTTGTTTTCTTCAAATTGAATATGCAAATTATCTTATATACTCTTGATGTTTGTTTTTCTCTAACAGATGACTTAATACTCAATCTTTCTTGTTGATCTCTATCACCTTGACTTTGTCCTTTTGAAAAAAGTACTGTCTAATGCCTTTTGTATTGTAAATGCATTTCACCATGACTTGTGGTATATAATGTCAGGCATCTCATAACACTCTAATGTGTCTAATATTGCTAGAATCTGTTCATGGTTTTCTTATCCTGTGGTGGAGGAGCAGCTGCATATTGGTCCACCTGTTCAGGATGCCCTGGCCATCCAACTCACTTATAATTTATTTGTTTATTCATGCATTCATTCATTCTAAGGAGTCCTATTTTTTTGTCTTGTGATTACTTACTCGGATCACATTGTTAGACTCACTGATGTAAGGCCTAGCCATTCTAGCAGCGTCTAGATTCTGTGCACAGTCAAAATATGTCACAGGTTCGAGGGCAACTGTACCACATCCTAAAATCAGAATTTTTTTTTGAAAATGTGACTGAAGAAAAAAAACTTGATATTGACAAAGCAACTGATGAACCTGGTGAACAGACAGCCAAGTATAATGACATATAATATTACAAGGTTCATATAAACCTAATGGACCATTTTCATGAGACACAAATCAAGAAAGCTATTGTTTCTCTACAAAGCATTATGACATTACAACAGAGGCATCAGTTAAAATGTTGTTGATGAAATTAAGGCTGTGACTGTTTTCTCTGTCATAATGGATCCAAGACTGACTAGCTGAGTCAGATTTTTTTGATACATAACAACTGAAGGGGATCTAATGAATGTGGTAACTGAAGTAAATATTAATGAGTCTTTTCTGGGTTTTCAGGAAATTTCTGGTCAATTTTTTTCTCAACTGCATTAAATAGAAAGGTTTAGATTTGTCCAAGTGTCGTGGACAGAGAGTATAATGCAGTTGCTAACATGAGTAGTGTGTACTCTTGTGTGCAAGCAAGAAATTTTAAAGAAAGAACCGAATGCTGCATATGTACACTCTGCTTGTTCACAACTTGTTCTTGCACTGAATGGTTTGGTTAGAGAAATACCAGAAGTGAAGCATACTTATGATGTGATGATAAGATATTACACTTTTTTTTTGGCCACAGCATTAAAAGGTGGGCTATGCTATCTTCATTTGTGTTTACTTCAGAAGCATCCAGTTCCACTAAAGTTACTTTAAAAATGCTGCATATGTACACTCTGCTTGTTCACAACTTGTTCTTGCACTGAATGATTTGGTTAGAGAAATACCAAAAGTGAAGCATACTTATGATGTGATGGAAAGATATTACACTTTTTTTTGGCCACAGCATTAAAAGGTGGGCTATGCTATCTTCATTTGTGTTTACTTCAGAAGCATCCAGTTCCACTAAAGTTACTTTAAAAAGGCTTTGTCCTATTCAGTGGTCATCACAGCATGGACTGCTCCGTGCTCTAAGATTTAAATATGTAGATATCATGAAGGCACTAACAAGAATAGTCCTTTTGAATAAAAATGTAGAAGAGTGTTAGGAGGCTTCAGCATAAGAGAAATCATTAGAGAAATTGTTTTGTCTTTCTTGTTATGCTCCAAACAAAGATTCTGGAAAGGGTAATTGTTGTGTAAAAATTGCTGCAATCTAAAGACACAGACCTCTACAAAGCAGCAAATTTGCTAAGCAATGCCACTGCAGATCTTTCTGTGTTCTGAAATGAGTTCCAAGAAGCCCAAAATACATCAATTAAATTATCAGAAAAATGAGGAGGACAAAAAAAGTTTGAAGAAATTCACTGGAGGAAAGTAAAATGTCATTTTAATGAGTTATGTGAAGAGGAATGACTTGCTGACTCAGAAGGTTTTTTTCAAGTGAATGTATTCTGCAGGTGCTTAGATATAATAATTGCATAGCTTTTCATTCGAGTTAAAAGTTTACAGGCAGTTGCAGATATAGTCAGAGTAATCAAGCCAAATATTTCTGTTTCTGCAAGTAATGATGATTTATGTATGAAGATTATGAAAAACTTGCCAATCATTTCAGCAAAGACATTTCTCCTGCTTTTCCTGGACAGCTGCTGTCATTCAGAGTATGTTTAAAATCAATATATTGAAGCAATCATTAGTGAAAGATTTAACAAAAGTACTAATTGTTGACAAAAGTGTGTTAACATCCAGCTTTTCAGAAGTTTGTACTGTACTTCTGCTATTTCTCACCATCCCAGTAACAGAGGTAAATGCTGAACATTCATTTTCAAAACTCATATTAATAAAGAACTACCTAATGAGCACTATGGGACAGTGCAGACTTTCTGATTTGGGAATGTTATTTATTTAAAATAAAAAGCAAGAAAACTGAACGTGCAGCAGATAATTGATCAATGAAAAGCATGATTGTTGTATATGTTGTCATCAGAAACACTGAGAGCCAGCACGGGCCCACTTTCTCTCTCTCTTTTAACATTTTCAAGAATTTATTAAAAAGAAGATCCTAAATTAGGACAGCAACGAGCTCATAAACCAGACAAAATCATAGCAGCAGCCGTTTTTACTTCACAGTATAAGCGTAAATATGTTAATAAAGTAACAACAATTATCTATTAAATCTATGAAGTAACAAATACATATTAATTGTTACTCAAATTATTATTTCAGTTGTTCTTAATGTATGAAGCATCTATATGCAAAGAAAAGCCAAAAACTATGAGTTTTATCATTAAATGAAGATATAGCCTAAATATGCTTTGCAGGCTTTACGGCATAACCAGGTTCCATTTGCCTGGGCCGCTGGGCAGTTGCCCCCTTTGTCCCCCCCCTGTTAGCAGGCCTGATTGTCCAACATAAGCTGGTATTTTGATAGTTAAATGTTGTTAAGTTTTAAAAAGTTGAACTGACTTGTTTATAAATGTTATTTCTTCAAAGTTAAAGGAGGTGGGGGGCCTACAAAGAAAGCCTGCATCAGAATCCATGTTTCTCTTTTTCTGCCTCTATTCATATCTTTGCTGCATTAAGGAAAATATTTTCTCTGCACTAAAATTTATTATGCAATGACAGTAGTTGGGTCCAGATGCAAAATTGTTTAAACTTTCCTGCAGCCACACTATAATCATTCTTACAGTGCATCCAATGGGACAGTATTTTTGCATGTACTGCATGTAAATAAAAACAACTAAAATAAGAAACAATATAATTTTTAACCTAGAAAAAAATTAGCTTTAAAAACCAAAACAATATGATCTGTGCCCATTTTCAATAATTCATGGAAATGTGATAATTATTTATGCCTGTTGTTTTGTTTATTCGAAGTTCTAGGTGTATCATCCTTTTTTTTATAGGAACGCCATCAGAAAATATGTCAGAAATTAAAGACCAAAAAGAGAAAAGTTTTCGATTCATCTAAAATGAGAATCAAAGGTACTGAAATCACTGCAGCCCCAGTGAAAAAACAAATAAAGGTATTTAGAAGTGTTTGTATAAATTTTAGAGAAAATTACAAAATTAGTAGAAAAACTAGCATAATGAAAGTTTTACAAAAACGTGCAACCAACAGAAGAACAAGCGTTGGAGCATGGCACTTCTGTTTTGGTGCTTATGTTTTTTTTTAGAAATACTTGTATGTACAGTAGGCTGGTCCATGCACATGTGGTAAAAAATGGAAGGGTACAAATGAGAGCTCTTGATGCATTTTTTCATACCTTATATGGAGACAGACTTCAGAATGAATTTTAAACTAAATACATCTGTATTTAAGGGTTGTGCAAATTTGAAGAAATTTGCCACAAGTTTACTTCTCCAGTTAATTTTCTTAATTACTCTTTGTTTATTGGTTGGCAAACAACGATACTGTTGCATGATCTTGAATGTTTGTTATATTATTATGTACAGTATCTTATAATTCAATATAATTGGGTCATGTACCATGCATTTTCTAGATTTAAGAGGCAGCAATCTAACATCTTGCCAGATGATGTCAGTTTTTCAGATCATTCAGTTGTCGATGCTGCAGAGGCAGGCTTTAAACAGCACTTATGGTATTTATCAGAAGACTTGGTAAGTTTGGCTCTGTTTGATGATAGAGTTCAGATAACTACTAAATGTGAAATGGTGAAGAATCTTGATATTCCATAGAAGAATGAAAACCTTCATTGTCTAGAGGGAAAGAACTTTAATATCAAGGCTCCTTTGCAATCTTATGTAACAAACAGGACTCTAAACATATTCAACATCTTAACTTTAAATGGGAAAAAGAAAGCAAAGGCATTTCTGGCGAAAGACCTGGCAGACTGGAAAGGGATTCTGAAATAAAAAGAAGTGCAGAAGGCAGCTGCCTGGTTGAAAGTTGTGATTCAAACATTTAATTCTTCTATCACAAAGGGCAAAGATCAAAAGCAATACCTTCTTCTCACAATTGAACTACACCAAAAACATTTCTGGCCCTCAGAAAGGAAAATTCATGTCATAAGTGATATGATAAATTGTTGTATTATTATTAGTATAGTTACATGGTATTCAGATATGCAGGATGCTATTAAAAATTTCATTCAGTTTGCTAGTGGTTTTTGCAGTTTTGTTTTTGTTACTGAATAAAAACCATAAGAACATCTATCTCATTTGGCCTTCCCTATAATGTATAATGATACTGAAGTGTTCAAGTTGCGCCACCTCTAAATATGCACAAATCGATCCAATTTATTTCATTTCCAACATCGTTAGTGGTAGTGGAATATAGACAAATATCACGTGAAAGAATTTTTCGTTTTTATATTTTTGGACCACCCTAATGTATAAGGATAAGCTTAATTGTTACTGTTGTAATGCTAGAAATATAAGAAGTAAAATATATCATTTTAGAGCACTGGCAGGAATGGAGGATTTTGATATAATGGGAATAACTGAAACATGGTTAAACATAGATGATTTTGATGACAGAAATTTTTTGAAACACAGGGTTACAGGATATTTAATAGGGATAGAGTATTAACTCTTTCAGCACGAGCTCAGTTCCTGTGCCCGACCTCGTAACCATTTTGTTCTTGTTATAGTTTTCATGCTATAACTTTTAAATTAATAAGCAATTGTTAATGAAATTTGGCAGATTATCAATAAACATTACAATGCTTTCATATGCAAAATATCAAATTTCTTTATTAAGTGTTAAGGCTTATAAAGCAATATTTTTCTCATGTATATTTTATCTTTTCACATGTTGCCTATCTATCATGCAAACTAATTTTTATTTTAAAATTAAAAATACTTCTATGCATCAGAAAATTTTAGAATTTCACATGTGAAGTATTTATAATGTCAAAATAATTATCAACTTTACATTTTATCCGTTATTTTCAGTAATTAATCTCTGTACGGGTTCAATAGATTTTACCGATCTCGCAACCACCATAAAAAATTAGGAAATAAATATAAATTATGCCTCTTTCATTCTAGAATGAACACAAATTATAACATGAAAACATAAATGTTTAGACTAAATAGCTTGAATCTCATAACATTATACATTTATATATATTTTTTATTTTTATTATATTGACCTTTCAGCCATGCCTGGCTAACAATACAGAAATTACAATGATGTGGCTCATGTGCACTCATATTACCATATTAAATAACATAAAGCTGACCTTTGGTCTGTGCAAAGTAACTTGTCTTGGCTGTGTTTTTGTAGACTAGTATTTTGTAAAATACAGTCAGATTTCCATTATTATGCATTATATATATGTATGTAGATTATTGCTATTTTAAAGTAAGTTCTTAAACATAGAATAGTAAAGCAAAGAATTATCTCTTCTAGTTATGACCTTTATTCTTGGTTGCTACTTGACTTAGGTTGCTAAGCCTTTAAAAATTTTGCACATGGAGGATATGAAAGAAAATATTTTTTTAGGTTTTATATATACATTTGAATAACTAAAAAAATCATAAATTACTACATTAATACCATACAATTCCACTATAATTTATAAAGCTTAATAACTAAGATGTATTTTAGTCTAAAAAAAATATGAAATTTTGAGTAGATTAAAGACGCACCCTACCTCATTGAAATATTGGTTTAAAATCATCATGCAACAACTCTCCTGACGCATGTGACTTCCTCTATTTGATTCTACCAAACTATCACTTCTCTTATGGCAGTGCTCATGTCAAGATGTTTTTATTGTGCTCTTCAATCATGTTTTTTTTCTTAAACTTGGTGAATTTTTTTTTTGCCATTCATTCCAAAGTGGAATTGTTCTTTTCAATTTTAAAACAGTTTGCAAATTTAAAGATAACTTATTTTTTCCAGTTTCATTTCTTTATTCTGTTTTATCCATTTCCCCAATTTCTTATAATCCCCTTCCTTCTTTGTTACATGATACCCCCCCTCCTCTGAGTATTTTGTGTTCCCCACATCCCTATATATCAGGGTTCATGCAGAGCATTTTTTCTCTCAGTTGTTTGAGGGTGTAGCATGCTTCACCCTCCATGGGCTTCAGATCAGTTTGCTTTAGCATACCATCAAGCTGAATTTCCATTTCTTGATTCTCAACAGTTGGAATTGCTTTTGTACGAGTGGAGGGCAGACCCTCATCATCCTGTTTTTATATCCCATGACCAGTTTTCCTTCCTTCATCTTACCCTATCAACTCTCCTACAGTACTTGTCTACTATCCACCTTCTTTCCGAGATGTTCCATCATGATCCTGAGGTTTTATCAGGGTATAGCCTCTCCCTGATTACCTCTATTATTGACAAGTTTGTCTTTTTTGTCTCTTTCCTTACACACATTGTATCTCTGTTGTTGGGATCTTCTTTGGAGGGACACTATAAAGCCTCAAGTTTGTTTACCACCTACTTATCTCAGGGATTTTTATATGGCCCTCTTTCTCCGGCGGTCTGTTTTTGGAAATATTCCCGAGACTCTGGAAATGGTGAGACAGCACCCTTTCATCTTTGGTTGATCATTTGTCTCATTCTGAGCCTAGACAAGCCCCTATTACTGTTTCCCATCCTTTTCCTTCCCAGCCCTTAACAGTTTCTACCTCCAGGGGTTCCTCCTCTTGTTGTATTATTCAACGCCGATGGACATGTCGTCAACAGTACCGGTGGGTTCCAGTCCAGTGGGGGGGTCGGTTGACTGATTTTGTTCCCTTATGGCAAGTTTTCATCACAGATCAGTGGGTTATTCAGGTATTATCCAAGGGACTTGTCATCCACTTCCTTTCCCCTCCTCCATTGTATCTTGTATCCATATTCTTTCCATTGCCGAGGGATTCTACCACCAGTCAGCATCTATCAGAGGCGGTACTAAATCTTTTCTTCCAGAAAGCCATCGAACCTGTAACTCATCCTTCTCCAGGTTTTTATTCCAGGCTGTTTGTAGTACTCAAGAAAACCAAGAACTGGTGGCCTGTGATTGATTTGTCCCACCTCAATCGCTTTTTACTTCTACCCCAATTTACCATGGAGTCTTTTCTCACCCTCAGGTGGGCATTTTCTCGAGGTTTATAGGGAACCAAGGTAGATGTCCCGAATGTTTATCTACATATTCCAACATCTCGTCTTTCAAGGCACTACCTTCGGTTTGTTCATCATGGGGTGGTTTATCAATTTTTCACCTTTACCTTTGGATATACTTTGACCCCATATGCCTTTTGTCAAGTGATCAAGGCTTTTGCCTGACATATGCATGCTCTGAGGTTGCGCGTACACTATTACATGGGTGACTGGCTTCTGTTAGCTTGTTCCAAACAGGAGTCCGCCCATAATACTCATCTGCTGTTCCTGGAGGAAGCTTGTGTGGGTTGGTTAATCAAGTTGGAGAAGTCATTCCTTATTCCTACCAAATATCTTCTCCACTTGGGTGTTTTTTTCAACACTCAACTCAGTCTGGCCCAACCTACTCTTCTTCAACTCCATTCGATGGAGCTTTCAGTTCTCCATGCCCATATTGCTCTCTCTATTACTGCTCATGAGGTTCTATCACTTTTGGGGATGTGTCCTTCTATGGAAACCCTTATACCCTTAGGTCAGCTACTTATGAGGTCTCTTCAGTGGGCCCTGCACAATCAATGGGATCCATTAGAAGCTCCTAATTCCCTTCTTCCTTCCCTTGTCAACAATCTGCACTAGTGGTTGGACAGGGCTCACACAGTGGGTGTTCTGCTTCATTCTCCACATTCAGATTTGCATATCTTCATGGATGCTTTCCTCCAGGGCTGGGGGCATGGGTCGATCAACAGGAAGCTTCAGGACTGTGGTCTCCTGTTGAACGATCTTACCATATCAACATCCTGAAGATTCTGGCCATAGATTATGCTTTGGATCATTTTCTTCATCTTGCCAGGAAATGTCTGGTTATTATCCATTCTGGCAATTCTGGTGGTGGCATTTATCACTCATCAAGGCAACACCCGTTCTTGTTCCCTTTGTGGTTGAACCTTGGATTTCCATTTTTGGGCCCACAAGGTCAGTATTTGTCTCCTTGCGTGCCATGTTCTGGGTGCATTCAATATTGTTGCAGATTGTCTTTCCCTTCCCAACAAAGTTTATCCAAAGAAGTGGTCTCTCAATCTTCTCGTTTTCCAGTGGTTATGCCTTTGGTGGGGTACTCCTTACCTGGATGTATTTGCCACACCCCTCAATACCAAATTACCTCTGTTTTAGTCTCTGGTTCCTTATCCACTTGCACTGGCATCCATCTTCTTCTCAGGGTGATTTCGATCATTCACGTCTCTTTGTGTCAGGTCCTTCTAATTGTTCCTTATTGGCCAGCACAACAGTGGTTTCCACGGCTGCTCCAGCTCCAATCTGCCCAACCATTATCTCTTCCTTTTACTCCATCCCTTCTACGTCAACTTTGGTTACCAGAATTTCACCCAGCCCTTCATATCCTCCATCTTCACTCCTGGTTTTTATCTGGTCCTTGGTGAGGAGTTCCGGATTGTGCCAGCAGGTCATTTTGTTTTTAGCTTGTTCCACACACCCTTCATCTATGGATGCTTATCAATGTAAGTGGAATATTTGCTGCCATTGGTCTTCTTCTTATGATTTCCTCATTTGGCTGTTTGATCAGTGGTCTTCAATCTCCTCAATTGCTAGTTATCAGGCTGCCTTATCCCACACTTTTTGTTTTTCCCAGTACTGTAACATTTATACCTCTCCTACTCTCTTCCTATTGTTGTGTTCCTTATGGATTCATTGTCCTCCTTGGCATGCAGTCCTTCTGGATTGGGATGTCAATGTGGTTCTTCACTCCCTTACTTTACCACCATTTGATCCTCTGTCCTCATGTTCGGTTTTTTACTTATCCCACACCAATGCCACACCAATCCATAAGTGAAACAAACACTTAGCTTTACCCATCCTGAACAATGTCTAGGCAGAGGCATCAGCATTTGCTGTTGTATATACCTCATGAGTGGACCTGGGTAGCTCTACCCATCTAGAAACCAGTGTGGTTGCATCATATTTCCAACCTATGGGGGCAGTTGGTTAGCTTTTTCTCATAGGTCTAACCCACTGTAGTGGAGGCACATTTGTAAGACTATCCACATGCAGATTTCCATTACAGCTGTCAATGCAGGCTTAATACCACTTCAGATCTGGTCACAATAGAAACAGCCTCAGTGAGTGTGAGGATATCCCTCATGCCTAGGTGTTGTTGCATGGGTTCATTGGGTATTCCATCAATAAACTTATTCCCAAGAATATTTTTCCTGATCTTTGGATGTCATTCCTAGGTAGGCCTTTTCTTTCATTTGTTGCAGGTTATCCAAGTAGGTGGCCAGTCTCTCAGTGCTAATCTTCTGAGCTTTGAATTTAGCTTGATGAATCACTTATTTCTTCACTGATTCAAATTAGTGATGCAGCTTATACACAACTGTCTCCCAACCTCCTAGTGTTCGATAACCTCCAGGACCGGAACATCTAAGCTCACAAAATCCATCCATTTCAGGCGGTTACCTGTTTAAAACACTTTAGACTGGTCTTAAGTTCTCTTTCATACCCATTTGTACATTAAGAGGGTGACCTCTTTGGCTTCACTTACAGAGGCCTGTGCAGTTGGCCACAGCCTCTCTCTTTTGGGATCCTGAAAAACATCAGGTAGTGGTGCCTCCAATATCATTGGTTCAGGACAGAAATTGCTCACTGGTCTCTTGACACCCAGATTTGCTTCTCTGAAGATACTTAAAGACATTTTCTAACAACTTTTTATGTTAAATTAATATATTTTATTATCTTAAAAAAACCTCAAAATACTTTAAAAACACAACTAGTTTTGGGCCTAGACTTAAATGAGTTGTCAGTTAATTAAATGCCTTTCATTTTTGAAAAGAAAATTACTTTCAAACCTCATTCAAGAATACTCAGAATTTGACCAACAATACTAGTGTCTAGAGATAAAATAAACTTTAAACATTTTTCAAATATCAAAAAATAATTGACAGAAAGGTTTTATGATTGATAATTGAAAGATTATTATGCATTTCTTAGTTTTCAGGTGTTTACTTTGTCTTTGTTTTTCAATCTTTCTATGGTGTCACATCAAATGGTTTGATCATTTACTAATAAAACAGCTTTGAAAATATGATTGGATAGAACAGGAATTACACTTTTCACATCATAGTAGAGCAAATATAATGGTTTGAGCAGTAGTTTATGGTTTCTTGATCAAGTGTCTATTAGTGTGAAAGTGTGGTAGATTATATCTGTTTCGAAAGATTCAAAAACTTTCTACGATGAAAGATATCAGGTAGTCTTTAGTTAGGTTTAGTGAGTATGATAGATGACTGCAAAATATTCTGATGACTCAAATCCTTATTTATTGAATATTATTTTATTATATGTTTATCCTATTTTAAACAAACTACCCAAATAAGTTACCTGAATGGTTACTTAAAGATTTCTAATTATAATCATGATATTTTTAAGTAGGAATATAACTACCATTATCAATAATAGTGAAATATGTTTCATTATTTGCAATAACTAACATATTCTCTCCTACAGCCACCAGCTTTAGGCTTCCATATGATAAGATGATACTGAAAGAAAAATTTTATTTCTTGTAGAACTGATTCTTTTTTATTGGAGTTCTAAAAAATGTCACTTAGCATCTTTTTCAAATGTTTTCAGGAAATAAAGAAAAAGACAAAGTCCAACTGGCGAGAAAAGCATGAAGAACTGATCCAAGCCATAAGAGCTGCTAGAAAACCTGACAATGGAGAAGAAAATGAGTCCCCAAATTCTTCAAAACCAAATAAAGTTCCAGCAGGTAATTTTAATTAACTATGTGATATACAGATAATTCCTATAATATAAGATGAGATTTTTTTCACAGTTTGCCTGATTCTAGACTTATATACCACATCCACTTGTCTAAGGGATTAGTCATCAAAATTTTTCAATGTTTCATAAATTAAATACGAGTTATTTTAGCTGTGATGATCATTGTGTGTAATGCTCAATAAAGCATGCTTAATTAACCAACCAACAAGAAGCTCACATCCTTTTAACCCTTTTCAATCTTTGTTACAAGTATAAATTCTCAAAAAAAAAAAACTACCCCCTTTCACAATTCCTCCTGTTAAGTCTAGAAATTTGCAGAGCAAAATGGTGGGAATATGACCACTCACCGTAAGTACAGTTTGCCAGATCCTTTACTTATACATCGCATCAACTTGTCTTAGGATTAGTCATAAAAATTTGTCAATGTTTCAGTACGAATTTTTTTTAGCTGTCAAGATCATCACGTGTAATGCTCAATAAAGCCTGCTTAATTAACCAACAATAAGCCTACACCCTCTTGACCCTTTTCAATCTTAGTTACGAGTATAAATTCTAAAAAAAACAACCCTACTTCATCTCACATTTTCTCCCATTAAGTCGTATAAATCCTACACAGCAGAATTCAAGCTGGAAGTCAAAATTTGCTAAGGAAAATGGTAGAAATATGACTGCTCATCATAAGTATGCTGTCAGCGAAAAGTAAAAGAAGTAAAATAATTTTAATTAATTATATTTTAACTTCATTTTCTCTGTATTTTTACTAACTTTTGCTATCTTCAAATTTCTGCACATTTCCAGCTATTTTCTTTTGCTGGTGTACAATATACAACACAGTAGTACTGTACTTGATCTGTTATCTTATTTTATACTACACTTTGACATATATATGAATGAATATTGAAAAAATGAAAAATTTAACCCATTCAACTTATACACCAAAAAATATGGGACATAAATACATTAAAAATGTCCCGTTAGACAGCAATAATTATAATACATAAAAACACAAAGCATTATGCATTCACTGCATGACTAAAAAACTCTTTCTATAGTATAAAAGCTACAAATAATAGGCCAAACAAATGGCAAAATCCCTTTAACCCTTTCACTACAGGTAGGTCAAAGAGCACATGTCATGACTTTTAGAGTTGGGGGCCCGGCATGGCCAGGTGGTTAAGGCGCTCGACTCGCAATCTGAGGGTCACGGGTTCGAATCCCCGTCACACCAAACATGCTCGCCTTTTCAGCCGTGGGGACGTTATAACGGTCAATCCCACTATTCGTTGGTAAAAGAGTAGCCCAAGAGTTGGCGGTGGGTGGTGATGACTAGCTGCCTTCCCTCTAGTCTTACACTGCTAAATTAGGGACGGCTAGCGCAGATAGCCCTCGTGTAGCTTTGCGCGAAATTCAAAACAAACAAACAAACTTTTAGAGTTACATTCAAAATCTAATTAAACTATGTTATTATCATTGTATACAAATAAACTTGGCATCAAAATGAAGTTAATAAACCATATTCTAATATTATATAAGTTTTAATTCTATATGGAAATATTTTTAAAATCCTCAATCTTCCCTTCTATGAGAATTTTAATGTTTGTTTTCTAGGTCTTCTCTCTTTTCTAATTTATTTACCAATGCTTTGAGAAGTGCAGAATTCAACATACATTATTCATTATAATATAGATATTACTATGGCAAAGCTTGATTTTTCCAGCCTTCAGTCTTTGTTTATAGAGTTATAAATTAAAAATCAGACCTACTTGCCACACCCCTTGTTGTTCTCTGATATTTTATTGGCAACTGACATAAAACAAACAAGAGGTCACAGGTGACATTTTTTATTTTTCTTGTATATTCTTTCTTTATTATTATAAAAGTAAAAATTAGAAACTTATTAGGTTAGATAAAGTTATATTAGATAAAATAATGAAAAAATAAAAATTCGTCATGAGGTATACTCACAAGCAGGATCGTGCATTCAATACAATAATGTGAGCTGTGCATTCACTGAGTGATTTTACAGTTTGAGTGGTGGGATTATTATATAGACATGGATCAAAAGGCAATAAAACAATAAAATTAAGTACAAATAGATCTATACTGATATGAGCTTTAAGCTATTTAGGATAAAGAATTGTAGTATCGTGTTACAATTTACAGTTATTCTAAAAAAAAGAAAGGTAACTTAGATTTATATTGTACTTTTCTATGGTGATTACAAGGTTGGTGAAATCAAGTGAATGTGTTTAAAGTCAGGTTAGAGAAAATAACAGATAAAATAGGAAGTTTTACTGGAAAAAAAAGTATGATATTTATTCAGGAGGTTTTAGAGACTACATAAATGTAAATGACAATTTTCAGATGAAGGAAAGTATTTTTCATCTTAACATGAAAATCACTTTGCACTGAAAACAGTCAAAATAAAAAAAATAAAATAAAAAATAACAGTTAAAATAAAAAATACTTTTCCTCCTCTCAAAAATCTCAAATTTTTATTGTGTAATCCCTAAAATCTCCTAAATGCATTTCAAGCGTTTTTTTTCAGTAAACCTTTATAGTTTATCTGTTATTTTCTCTACCCTGTCCCAAAACGAGATTAGTCAATTCGACCGACCTCGTAACCATGAGAAAGAAATGTTGTTTATTATTATTAAGCACAAAGCTACACAAAGGGCTATCTGTGCTCTGCCCACCACGGGTATCGAAACCCGGTTTCTAGCGGTATAAGTCCGCAGACATACCACTGTGCTACTGGGGGGCAAGAAAGAAATAAAGCTAAATTACCCTTTTTTCTTTTTAGAATGACTTCAAATTGTAACATAAAACTACATTCGTTTATCCTAAGTAGCTCTAAGTTTGTAACAGTATACATCTATTTATAATTAAATTTTATTGTTTTATTGCCCTTTAAACCATTTTTAACTACTATCCACGCCATTATAAGTTGTATATTACTTGGGAAACATGCAGCACACGTTACACTATCAAATTACATTACCCATGAGCTACTCGCTTGTGTGCCTCGTGAAACATTTTTATTATAATTATTATTTATTTTACCTCATCTAATCTTAACAAACCTAAAAAGACCTTATTTCTACATTTTAGTTATTCTTATGATTATACATAAAGAATAAACATGAAAAACTAAAAATAAAATACTTAACCTATCTTCATTGCTACCATTCTCTTTGAAGAGAGTTAACCCTATTTTTTTATACTATAGATACTGATGCACTTAATAATTTTTATTTAGTTTAATAATGCACCAAAGAATATAGACTAATAACATGCAAAAAGTAGACAAATTCACTTAGCTCTCAAAATTTTCTTGGCTTTCTAACTATGCAACAAGAGCTGTTATAAATTCATCCAAGCTAGTCGTTAACCTTCCCACGGGAACGATGTTGGTACTCTGAGTGAAATTGACATGTAACTGTTAAGAACATAACATTATATAATATGTCATTTGATAGATAAAAACCTTGACTTTCTAGTGGTTATAGGTAATATATAATGAAACACAAGAGAGAACTATCAATGAATTCTGAGAGAGGATGTGGCAGGAGGGTTCTGATTTTCTAAGTGATAGCTCTGTAACCAAACAAAATTGAAGGCTATAAAAATTATGGTTTGTCTGAGCAATAATGATTTTATAGACAGTAATTTATGTTTAATTTCATGTTTTTTTTAAGGGTTGTGGATCAAATAGGGATGATGACATGCTAAGAGAAAATGTGTCACTAGTGGAAATTCAGGATTTTTAAAAATATTGCCTTGTTGAATTAAGAACTTAAAACTTGTATACTATTAAAATATGGATTATTAGCTAAGATTCTATGCTATTCTAATTGGTATAACTTAAACAAAAAGTAGTTTAATAAAATTTTGAATGTATGACACCAAAACTTTGTGTCATGCTCAGTAAAGGATACCTGTGGCAATAGGGTTAAAAGGTCAGTCAAATCAACAAAGCCCATAGAGTGAGGATTAAACAAGATATGAAACATTTTTAATTAAATACCCTTGATATTAGCAATGAGTTCTTTGTACAGGAGATATTATGCTCAGTAAAATAACCTTTTACGTACAGCAGTACCCCTTTAATTTGATCACGAAAAAATCTGGAATATCCAACTTATATATTTAGAGGAAGCATCTGTCCAATTTTTTATTTATAATTATCAATTAATTGCTTACTCTCTAGATATTTATGAGTTATCATACATCATGTGCAACATCACACAAAGCTACATGCATGAACGTGATTTTGACAATGTTAAAACATGGCTTATGAATGACTGCTCACATGAGTACAGACCAGTCAGGGTTAGCATTTCATAGGTCACTACTTACTTACTGTAAACAGCAAATGATAGTCATACTTGTGATTTTGCAGCTGTATATTGATAATTTTTGTAAAACATCTTGGCTGTAGGACTTACTTGTGTATAATGCAAGTTGGTATCTCACTTAACTGACTTCAAGTAGTATTGTAATTATGAAGTGGTAATTTTTTTTAACACTGTATCATATTTAATAGAATAAGCTATCCTTGTGAAAAATAATCCAGTGTTTCTCACATGATATCTTAACGAAAATGCATCTTATAGTTATGCATGACTATAAATTGGTCATAAAACCATCCTAATGGTTATGACATAGTGGATTTCAAAGACATCCACTACTAATCCCTGTCTCCACAAATTCCAGGCAACAATTTATCTAACCAGTCTTAAAAATGATCAAGATTTCCTTTAGCAGTCTTTTGGAATACTGAATGTTTAATCTGTTCTGCTTCTCTGCTGTTGATCTACAGCAGTGAGAATAGGAGCCTGCACCTATCATCTTCATAGACAAGTATTCTGGATGTCACCTTCCAAGTTTTTTCCTCATGTGCAGTGCTTCTAGCATTCTGACAGATGCTTGCTGCATGCTTAGTTCTGAGGCAATACACACCTCCTCACACAGAAAGCTATCTTC